TTGCGTTGTACAAACACGTACACTTACACATGGAACTATGTACTTGCACATACAGCCGCATACTTATATGAGTATATTATACGACGTTGTAGTATATGAAGATTACTGAGTCGTCGATAGGCCTTCGAGGTAGACGGGGCGAAATCAGCAATCGACCGGGAAAATTAATTCGCCCGCAATTTTCTTACACAATCTTGTTAAAAATGTGCTACTGCACGGGAAAGTACAGTTTGCCAGGCGGAAATGTGGTCAGAAATTGTTTACACAAATTTTTTNTGGAAATCTGTCTTTTTTAAAATAAGCCCCCAAGCACGCGATGTAAAAAATAATTAAATAAACAATTTATCATTAGTTAAATGTATTATCAGTGAAAGCATATGAAAATAAAACATCAGTTATGAACCACTCAATAAGTACAAGAAACCAATTTCCTATAGTCGGCAGCGCTCGTAGCAGAGTGGGTAAGGTACATGACTCGTTTACAGCAGGTCAAGGGTTCAAATCTCTTTATTGGAAAGTTTTTTTTTCCTTTTTTTTTTATGTGTGTAGAATTGTAAAAGAAAAAATTGTAAAAGAAAAAATTAAAAGTCAAATAAAAATTATTGTGGAAAAATAAAATTAAAATTCGTTTAAAAATTAATTGCTTGGGAGTGTGAAGGGGAATATTCATTTAATTTGGCCCATTCCTAACCAAATTTAATTGGGATGCATATACCTAAATCCCATGGATTCCGAGTAAAAAATTCCTCAAGTTTAAAAAAACGCGTCTTTTGCGATATTTCATCACGTGTTACTCAGCTATTGGTGCATTATTTGTAACTAACCAGGGCTCAAACTTTTTCTTAAAGCGTGCACTTTTAGATAAAGGAAGATTTATAAGAGTTAGCTACTTGGCAAGAACAGTATTGTTGATCTAAGCATAGTCGTTTTTGTACCTACCATCCATGAATACGTATACCTGAAGGAGAGGAAAATCAACAGGGGAAATTCATTCGCCCGCAATTTTTTTGCACTATTTTATTTAAGATGTGCTACTGTACGGGGAAGTACAGTTCGCTAGGTGGAAATGTGGTCAGAAATTGTTTAAACAATTTTTATTCTAACAAATTACAAAAAATCAATAAATTTGTCGGAAAAAATTTTTTTTACACTGCTGTGACCAAAACGATTTAAATGGTGGTGTACACACTTACAATTATCTGAATAGATAAAAAATTAATAAATTTATTCAACATGCTTATAAATATTAATGTTGCATAAGTAGATACACGAATAGCTTTCGGCTGGCAAGCAATCACACGTAAGACATATTTAAAATTGAGAAAAAATTCTTGGGGTGAATAATGAGAAATTTTATTGATTGTATATTGTATTTTAAGCTTCATAGAAGACGTTCAAGTTTTTTTTACATTAAAAAACATTTCCATGATACCGCTTTAGAAACCTACAAATAGGAAAGTCCGTGTTTTTTGTAATTTCAAGAGTTCTTCAATCAAAATTTATCACTTTTAGAGAAAAATGTGTTAAGAAATTTTTTGTTCGTTTAGGTTACAGCAGTACAGAAAAAATTTTCTCCTACGAATTGATTGATTTTTTGTAATTTGTTAGAGAAAAAACTGTTTAAACAATTTCTGACCACATTTCCACCTAGCGAACTGTACTTTCCCGTACAGTAGCACATCTTAAATAAGATAGTGAAAAAAAATTGCGGGCGAATGAATTTCCCCTAGTGATTTTCCTCTCCTTCAGGTATACGTATTCATGGATGGTAGGTACAAAAACGACTATGCTTAGATCAACAATACTGTTCTTGCCAAGCAGCTAACTCTTATAAATCTTTGTTTATCTAAAAGTGCACGCTTTAAGGTAAAATTTGAGCCCTGGTTAGTTACAAATAATGCACCAATAGCTGAGTAACACGTGATGAAATATCGCAAAAGACGCGTTTTTTTAAACTTGAGGAATTTTTTACTCGAAATCCATGGGGTTTAGGTATATGCATTCCAATTAATTTTTTGTTAGGAATGGGCCAAAGAATAAGAAATTTTTTTTCTCGAAAAAATTAATTTTTACAAATTGTTTAAAAAAAATTTCTGTAAACAATTTCTGATCACATTTCCGCCTAGCAAACTGTACTTTCCCATGCAGTAGCACATTTTTAACAAGATTGTGTAAGAAAATTGCGGGCAGATTAATTTTCCCAGTCAATTGCTGATTTCACCCCGTCTAAGATGGCAAAACTCGACCGCTTTCGAGCTTGTATGGCCGGTTCCAAATGCTGGAGTAAGGAATAGTAGCAGCAACAATAGCAGCTATATATATGTTCCACTACCGTGGTAACTGAGTGGAGTCGAGGTAGCATATCGGTCGTTTGAAATCTGTCGCTTTTTTCCGGCTCACTCCCAATCGCAAAACAAGAGCCACTACAGATAAATAAATCTTGTAAGTATCAAAAAAATCCGCCTTTGTAACAAACCACTTTTACAAAGATAAGTTATCGCATTATAATAAATGTTCTCTAAAAGCCAACTAGAAAGATTCATCACAAAACCTTTACCAGGCTACCATATGTTTCTCAAGTAATACAATTCAGTTAGTCATACTTGTAATTAGTAACATTAATTTTAAAAAATTTAAACTTGATACAACTGACTTTAACCAACTTGGTCCTGCTCTGACTATGCAGCTCTCCTTCAGTATATGTCTAGATCTTGATGTTGTTCTTAGCCATAAAAATTTGAGTAAGCTTGTTGTCCCACAAAATTTATTTTCTACCGTTTAATCTACTCCTACAGTTAATTAAGTATAATACTTATAGTAAAGTGTCTATTTGCAAGATTACCAAATGTTGAGAAAATTTTTCAGTACGTTTTTATCTTAATTATTAAGTATTTGAATGTTTAAACATAAAGAGCTTTATGAATATTCAATAATTAGTTTATTTAACTAATAAGAGTTTTTTGGCATAGGATAGTAGTCGTTTTCTTTAAAAATATAAAGGAAATTAAAATAACAAACCAGGGGGTATAAATGGGTCATGGGACCCACGGTAAGAACAAAGTTTTTCAAAATTGAGATGAGTGCCGAAAAATAATAAAATATGAGATGTGTATCGAAAAACATCTTAAAATACGTACTCACGAAGTTCAACCATCGTGAGTACTAAACTATTGTTTTTTTTTATTTTTTATTCGTTTTTCAAGTTTTTGTTTTAGTAAACAACATGAATGCAGTACTAACGTTTACAGAGCTTCGTTCTTCCTGTGGGTCTGGCGACCCCCTTGTTACCTGAGAAATTGTGTCTATA